TGGCATAGACCTGCTTTACTCCCAGGTCATGCAGTCTGATCTTTACTTTCTTCCCTGTGCCCCATGTGTGGTCAAACATGCGTGTGTACAACACACACACACACGTGTGTGCACGATGGAGGTTAACTAGTGGATAGTATATCCACTGGGAATATTTTGTGGTAAGGCCGCAGTCTCTTCTACAGTACTACTATTCTTGCCGTGATCTGAAAGCCAGTAGAGCATTCTACTTCGTATATTATTATCACAGGCGTTCAAAAGTAGCGTTAAACTCTTGATCCCATTAAGCTTGGAATCTCAGGTATGTGGACAGGTGAATGCACCGATGAACTAGAGATCTCCGTACACTGTCAACAAACGGCGAATGCGTATCTCCGCGTGATATTCAATAGCAGACGATTGATTGATTCTGCCTGGTCGACAGCGTCAGTATGTTTTACAATGCTGCCAGAAATCTGTAGAAGCTTTTGTATCACAGTTTGCACACGACCAGTACAGTTAGGTGTATCGGTGCTGTAAGGGTGTGTGCTTCAATTGTAGACCTTAAAAGTGATAGAAACTGCAATCATCGTGCCGTTGTCGTGTAGCCTGTCAGTTTTTGTGTAAATGATGTCAAAGTGTTTTAAACACGTCACGATGCAGTGGGGCACAGTGACGTCATGGTGACAGTTTAAATATGAATGCCCCACTTTTGACATACACCCAAGAAGAGCAGCGTTATGTTATCCGTTTTTTTTTTAAACCAATGAATTTTTGAAATAATGTTTTCAGTCCAGCAGGTTTATGAGTGGTTATAAACCTGTCTCTTTCATGTGTAGTAAGTCTTGAGGATGTAAGGGGAATTACCCTTTTTCGTCCATCATAGATATAGTAAAAAGGGCTCTTAAAGTATCAGCCATTAGCGTGACGAAGAGATTTAGTACCAGACGTGGTAGTATACCAGGACACAAACTGGTCCATGCCTGTCTACAGCGCTTTCTACGTCACATGAGACACAGTCTCAGGGCTCAGGGGGCTTGGGCCTGGCCAGCTTAAATAGAGCAACATTCCCTTCTAAGTCTGAGTGCGTCTGACTGAGCTGCTTAAGAACCAAAAGTCTGAATAAAATTAATAAAATGGGGACGGCTTGGGCATGCTTGTACAGTGTCGCTTGACATTTTGTCCACACACAAAAAAAGCACTCGCCGTGGACGGTACAAGGAAAAGGTATACGTTGACGACCACAGGAAACCATGAGATGGACAAGGGAAAATTGCAGTAATTCGATAGAGTGGATAGAAACAAACTATGGTCTGTTCTCGAGAACTACAGGGTACACGGGCGGTTGCTAGAGAACATCATAGCCATGTAACTTCTTCTTCTCTTCCACCTAGTATCTCATTGAAGTGTCGGGGTGAGATGTAATGTTCGTTGATGAGCTCTGTCAAGAGCACTATTAAGACTGATGTTCATTTCTGTAAGGTTGTTCTTAATGCCATCACTCCATTTTTTTTCGAGGCCTTCCACTCACTCTATACCCGTTGTAACGTTTTAGTATGGCTGGTTGTGGCAGATAGTACCAGGGCATTCTTGTTAGCTGTCCTAACCACTTCATTTGTTGTTCTTTGATGACCTGAAAGACTAGCTTTATTCCTAGCATTGGTCTGATTTCATATTCTGTCTTTCCTTGAAACTCCTGCAGCTCTTCTAAGGCATTTCATCTCTGTTGTCACAATTTTACGTTCATTGGAGGATGTAAGTGTCCACGTTTGGCATTGATAGCATTGTGTTGACCTAAAAATAGATCTAATAAGATTCACTTTAGTACTCCGAAGTGCATGTACCACACAAACTAAAGTGCAGTAAGAATACAAACAGGCATGTCAGATATGTTCAGTCAACAAGGGTGTGATGCATGGGTGTGTGCTTCCCACTTTTATTCAACGGTTATGTAGACAATATCTAAAGAAGCAAGTTCTAATACAGACAACATAGATCGTTACAATCATGAGGAAGTACACACATCATAAGAAGTAGTCGACTCATCCACACTATAAACGAGCTACTATCTGCTGCCGACCACTGCTTGTTCTACAGTGAAGAAGATAAGGTGGGCTGCATGATCTCGAGGCATGGTGTCCGCCTCGAGTGCTAGAGGTTCTGGGTTCAATCCTCGGTAAGGGCTGGGATTTGTTCACGTGGACTCGGACTTCTAGTAATTCCCCCTGGCCTCTGAGTAGAGAGATCGGACGCCCGTGTGCATTGTTGCGTAAGTGAAAAATTTATTGAGTTTGAAATCGAAAAGAGTAGCCTAACGGGGCTGCTCGGGCAAAATCTGGAGTTAAAAATCTACCTAAAGTATTTCAGGATCCTCGCCGGTGCTACAGAGTCTGTGCACTGTGCTGATATTCTTAGGACTTTAGTTAGAAGAACGGAACACTTATGGGTTACTACCCGTGTGCCATGATGTTGATCTGTTGTGCAAACCTCAGATTGAATATTTTGTTCAACTATTCCAGCTATCATGGGGATTTTGTTTTTTAAAATATCTCGAGTTGTTAACTCTTTGGCTTAGTACTTTGGATATCGCAATCCTTCAGCCTTGATTCCATGATAATACCGTAAATCTGGAAGAAATGTGGCTTTTCTGCCAACTCCCGGGTGTGAGCCCTGACCGCAATGAGTTCGTCACCCGGTCGCAGCGAAGAGGTTTAACCACGGCCAGCTCCAGATTTTTATATGCAGCTGGACGTAGTTTAACCAACTGAGCAAACGAGCCGGGCCAGTCATGGGGATATAGTGTCCAACGTATTTTCAGTGTCGAATTTCTGCTAACTGACTCGAGCAACGACAAAATTCATAATCTGTTTAAATTATCACTAATTACTGGCAAAGTGATGGCTGATAGGCTGCAATAGTTGGGACAAATACAGAGAATACAGAAATACAGAGAATGATAGATAACGGGAATAAAGAAAGGAGAAAAAAAATTACTTATATAAATCTTCTTCTTCTTTTTTCTTTGCGTTCACCGGTTGTGAACTCCGGCGGAAAGTTCTGGTTGTTCATCCACTTCTGGACTGCAGTCCTCCTATTCCAGAACCTGAGTGTTGCGTGTGCATCCGTTTGACAAATCTGACTTATTTGTATGCAGACTGTTGGTTCCTTGCCTCTCAGGCAGATGCACCCCGACTTCGAAGGAAGCTCCCAATTTGTCGACTCGTACGACAAGCTTTTGGGTAGGCAGTGGGTCTATTCCCCCCCCCCTCCCCGACCCTCCTATAATAGGGTCCCGGAACCCACACGGGGAACTTACACAAATGAGTTGAATGGAAGTAGAAAAAGCAGACGTTGGTGAGATAATATCCAGACAGGCCTACAAACACTTGTAGTCAGTCACCAACTAGAAAGAGCAGGCCAGCTGACTTTTTTAAAAATATTTTGTCGGAATAGCTTATTCGGGGGGGGGGGGGGGGGGATTTTCACGGTCTAACATAAATGTTTGCAAACCCGGTCGGAAAGCTAGCAGAGAGGGAAGGGGTGGTTGAGGAGAACAGACAAGAAACTTAACGTTGGCAAGCCATGCAGACGGTATCTGATATTCCGGTAAATGATATTTGATTTGCCGGGTTGTCAACTTTTATCGACCACGGCCAGGCCTTTATAAAATCTTGTTATTTTAAAAAGTGTTAACTGTACGCAAATTATAAAACCATTCAAGAAACACCAAGTATAAAATCCTCATGCAGTTAGGTTTTAGGTGTGTTGATCTTTAATTGTCACCTGCTGACAAAATCGGTGGTGTAACAGGAAAGTGGAAGTCGCCGTGGCGAAGCGTTGAGCCCGGCTCTCTAGCGAAGTTGGTTAAACCTGACTTTCGCGGCGGCCGGGTGACGAACTCCTTGTGGTCCGGGTTCACTCCCTGGGGTAGGCAGAAAAGCCACATTTCTCCCAGATTAACGGTACCTATAATGGAATCAATGCCGAAGGGTTGCGATATCCATAGTACCGAGCCAAAGGGTTTACAACTCATGGTTTCTGGATACGTTAAAAAAAAAAATTAAAAAATGACCTTGTCTCCCAGGTCGACCCAGTCTTGAATGGGTACCGGGAAGTAAAGGCGGTTGGCGTGATTCTGAACACATCACCCATCTTGTGCCGATTGTTCTATAAAAAAAATGTCTAGCCCTATATGACCTATACGCATAAAGGCGTGGAAACGGGTCCCTTACTTTACATTTTTTACATACAGGAATGTGTTCAGGTTTGAAATGAGTAAAAATGTAGTCTGGCAGGTGGCCGATTTAAGAAGTCTGGCAGACGGTATTCGATATATCTACAGTGGCACAAAAACAGATCGGATAACATACGGATGTTGATTCCACAATAAATCATCACATTCAGCCAGCATCCCCCAAGGGGAGGAGCTTTTGGTTATAACTGTGACTAGGCTTATGTGCACCCTTTAAAATGGCTTAACATTGCTCAACACCAAAAAGCCATGAAAAGGACCCCCCACCCCACAATGGGCGACCCAGTTGCCAACGTGCACATATTTGCCTTTCAAAACATGGTTATTATTTTAGTATTACAATTATTAATGTGCTGAATGGCAGATACAAATAATGTACTTGAAATATGAAGTGAACAAACAAATATAATTAAAGACAATTTTAATGCATATTTAAAAGAAGGCCTGTTAGTTTCCTTAGTTATTTTTTTTTTGGGGGGGGGGGGAAGAGGGGGGGGGGGTTAAGGGGGCCCATGCCCAGGTTATGGTACTATTGTCGACTATTTTATTATTCTTACTAACTACAGACTGCTTGATGAAGTCAAAAACTGCGGCCAAAGTTAGAATTCAGTGGGTTGTGTGGAGTAGCTTAATTGTCTGATTTTTTCTGGCAGCATTGCTTTTCACTTAAAATCTGATGCAAATAAATTTCATCAGAACTATCAGAAGAAAGGGAAAAAATATGATAATGGCATCATCTATTTTCGTTTTCTGTCTTCTAATATTTTAGGACTTGATGGTGCAGATGGTCAATGGGGTCGACTTTCTTCACAGTAACCGAATCATCCATCGAGACCTGAAGCCTCAGAACATCTTGGTTACACATGATGGCATCCTCAAACTGGCTGATTTCGGCCTGGCCAGGGTGTACGCCACCGACATGAAGCTGACAAGTGTGGTAGGTTGTTTTTGTATGTGTCTTAATTATTTAATTTTTTCAGTTGCAAATAATGTGTAGTATGTTAGTCATAACCAACAAAGAATGGGTTTTTAAAAATATTTTACTCTGGAAATCTGGTTACCCAAATGACCAATCCTCTGTGTTTAATTTCTTTCTAACACTCTATAATTTGTTTCCCCACTTAGGAAAATCTTCAGGTTCCAAAAGAGTTAAAGCAGTTTTTGTAATTTGAAGGTCCATGGACAGAAATGGACAATCAGAACTTGTCATCCGTGTTTACAGCCAGTGAACGCAAAAAAAAAACATTGACCTTAACCCACCTCCCCCACTTCCAACTTTATACAGTTCTTTTGTATAGTGCTATACCTCTATTTTATAGACTAATCGATGCTCAGTGGGTGATTTGGTCAGTAGCTCTCCGGCAGCCTTTGCTTTGCTATTGTTGACATAGCATTATCATTACAGAATTTTCTGTCCTGGGATTACCTCTTCTATGTTTAAATTATTTCTCTTCTGTGCTGATAAACCTTAGTTGTTGCTTTTCCACCCTAAAATATGGTGTGGTGGTTAGAGTGTCAACTGCCAATGTTGAGATTAATTGAACTCAGGTTAACCTGGCCTCATTGAATTGGTACAAAAGCTAGCCATCTTAGTAGATCCCATTCTTTCCAAAGCTGTGGGCACTGGGTGAGAGCCCTATCTGTTTATACACAGACTGGCACTTAGTGGGGGGGGGGGGGATATCAGGGGGAACAGGATACTGAAGACAGAAAGTCTTGGTGTTTATCCACATCTGGATTTGTTTCTTGTTCCAGGGCTTGAGTTTTGCATTCACATCTGTTTTACAGATCTGGTTATTTTTATGCTGGCTGTTGGTTTTCTCAGGCAGATGTACTCTGGCTTTGAAGTAAACATCGATCATATCTGCATTGGCTAGACTCCCGGTTAGGAACCTGTTTCTATGATTATCTCTTGAGAGTTGTTGATGAAATTGGACCTGTATGAGCCATGGTCTCAGAGTACCCCAGGTGTGGTTCCATGCCTCTACATCCAGGACACTTCTTTTAAGCCATATCTTAGGGTGTTTGTAACTGTATCTGTCTGTGTTCATCTGTTGTGTGTACAGTTAGACACTTCAGTTACAGATATTCTGTCACGGCATGATACCAGACTTATTCAGTGCTTTCACTTGTGTCTTGGTCTCCCGCTGGCTATCATCCCCTTGAATTTTCCCATTGTCATAAGGTTCTCTTCCTTATGTTGGTTTCTGGGCCCCAATGTGGGGGAAAACTAAGAAAAAAATCCATTGCCGCTCCAAAAAAGTATGTTGTGGGAGTCTACTAATTGGGGACTTCCTTCAAAGTCAGAGGGCATCTGCCTGATAAGCAAAGAACTAACAGTGCGTACAGATAAGCTAGATCTATTGTAAAATGGATGTGCATGTGGCACTCAGATTCTGGAACAAAATTAAAGTCTAGAGGTGGACAAAGATCCAGAACTTTCCACCAGAGTTTACAGCCGGTGACTGTGAAGAAGAAGAAGAAGAGGAGGATTATTTCCTGTTGTCATGATGTGCCTAAAGAATGTAATCAGTTCAGAGAACTGATGAAAGATCAAGAGTTTCTAGTGGGCCATGACTTTAGTGATGTTCTCTAAAGAACCCACACTCCACATGTGGTTTCCAGGGCCCCATTGGTGGGGTCGGGGGAGGGGGGGGGGTCAATAGATGCACTGCCTTCTAATAAGCATGTCTTAAGAGTCAACTGATTGACGATGTTTTCTCTGAATGCAGGTTCTGGAACAAGACTAAAAGTCTAGAGGTGAATGAGGAACCAGAACTTTCTGCTGGAGTTTACAGCTTGTGAACGTGAAGAAGAAGAAAGTAAAGGATCAGCTTAATGATGGTGATGGGCATAATAAACCTACAAATGGGCCTTTGTTGCATTCGCTGACCCCGCCAGGAACAAGTTATTTCACCAAGGCTGGATTTGAACTAACTTACTACAGTTTAACCTTTGCTTTTATTAGGTTCTCACCATGTGGTACATTTCAACTGGCATTTTTCTTTGTTCTCTTTTGCTTTTGTTAGGTGGTCACCTTGTGGTACAGAGCTCCTGAAGTTCTTCTGACCGGTCAGTACTCCACAGCAGTGGACATGTGGAGCTGTGGATGCATCTTTGCTGAACTCCACCTCAGGCGGCCACTTTTCAAAGGCAGCTCAGAAGGGGACCAGCTAAAGAAAATCTTTGAGTAAGTTCAGGGGGCTACTCTGTCGTTGATAACAGGGCTTTTTTTAATGGCGTTGCACAGGGGTACACAATACCTAATTACCTATTGATTGTATGGATATTTTTCTCCTCTTCGCTGGTGTAATAAAGATATTTTGTAGTCACTACAAGATGAAAGGGGAGTCGTCATTTGAGCCTTGGCGGAGCCTGACTTTTTTTTCCCCAAGAATCTTGATTCCCAGGTCGACCCAGCCTTGCATGGGTACCAGGTGCAGTCCTGGGAAGTAAAGGCAACCACTAAGTGCCGATTGGTCTATAAAAATATAGGTCTAAACCTATATTCCCAATACGCCTAAAGGTGTGTAAAAAAGGGACCTTTTGCAAGATGAAGGGAGATCTATATATATACAGCAATAAGAAAGTGACGAGCACTGTTAATGTGATGAAGGAAGTGACAAGCACTGTTCATGTGATGAAGAAAGTGACGAGCACTGTTCATGTGATGAAGAAAGTGACGAGCACTGTTCATGTGATGGAGAAAGTGACGAGCACTGTTCATGTGATGGAGAAAGTGACGAGCACTGTTCATGTGATGGAGAAAGTGACGAGCACTGTTCATGTGATGAAGGAAGAGGCTTTAGAGAATATCGTGATGACTGGGAAGATCAACTGTAGAAGAGGGAGTAGCAGACCGAGAGAGATGATGATGGATAGATTGCGATGGGGGCAGTGAGGGGATATCATCGGTGGAACTGATTTAGAGGAAAAGGAGCTGTGATCTGCAGAGATGCATGAACTCCTATTCCAGTTGGCAGGGCACATAATACTGATGAGTAGTGAACAGTAATGGCAACTGCACAAAAGAAGTCAGAAGAAAACTTGATTTAGCAATGCGGAGATCAAACAGCATGAAGAACTTACGGCACAGAACCTGCAAATGAGTTAAACAAATTTGATATCATGTATCTTTCCTATGGCAACTTAATGGATGTTAGTCATTAACTCTTACTCAATCACTAAAGAAAGAATTGGAGCTGTCATTGAAATGTTACATAACAATTCTTAGTATGCTATGGACTGAAAAGAAGAAAAAAAAAATCAACAGGATCTGAACGTGAAGGAGAACTGGCTCATAAACAGCATTCTGTCCTGAAAGCTGAAATATCTTGTTGACCTAGGAAAAATAAAAAGCAGTCAAGGGTACAGTTTTTAGGCAGCAAAACAGATGCTGACCTCTTCGAAGGTGAATACAGGACATTGAAGATGCATTGGCTATAAAAGCACACAGGGCTGGAGAATTGGCTGGAGACAGAGACTTTCAAATGTGCCGTGAAGACAGCAGTGCTCTATAATGAACCCACTGATTGAGGATGGGCTAGCCAGTGTGAGACATTGAATTCATGTTAACCTTTTTTTTCATGGCTTCCTCTCTTCCAGTGTTATCGGTCTTCCAGAATCTTCATTATGGCCAGAATCAGCTGCTCTTATGTGGGCATCATTCCGGCCATCACTGCCACCTCCCATTGATCATTTCGTTCCTGAGATTGAAAATCAAGCCAAAGATTTGTTAGAGGTACTAGTTGTGCTTTGAATGTGTTCTTTTTTCACTTCTACTGCTGCTGCTTCATCTGCTGTGATGTCATACCACCATCACTTGCTACTGCTGGTTTTGATACATCTACTTGTAACACTTCTCATACAGCTATAATTTTTTTTTTTTTTTTTAATCGATCACTGGCTGTGAATTCCAGTGGAAGGTACCGGTTAATCGTCCGCTTGGACTTTTGGCTTTCACCTGGACCTGATTTTTGCGTGTACAACCGTTTTTCATTTCCCTGCCTCATGGGCAGCTGTACGCCGACTTCGAAGGAAGACGTCAGGCCTATTTCTAGGGTGACTGTGGCCATTGTTTTGTGTGGGTCGAGACGTTGCCTGATTTGTGTGGTGTCCACTTTGTCTCCTTCGCCACAGGTATTGCCCCCGGAGTACCCCTTTGGGGCAGCCCCCTGTGGAACAGTTAGCCCTCAAGGGAAGGCAGGGGCAGATCATGGGCATTCCCCGCCATCCAAGGAGGCTTCCATGCATGCAGAGCCGGCACATGGCGCTCTGGTTCTGGGCTCACCCAAGGAATCGTCACGTCCTGCACATGCCTGCTTAACCTCACAACCGTATCAGGCCTCCCGCACAACAGGGGCTGCGCCCTCTGGAAGTCAGCGGGGAGCAGCCCGTGGGTTTTGGACTTTTGTGACCACACAGATAGGTACATTCTTTTTTCTTCGCACGTTAGATTTCTTTGACGAGCCGTTAGCCCGACAGAATTTTACATCCTGCATCAGGCATATCGTTATCAGTTTTGTCCCAACACTCGGGCGAGTGGGGTCTTTGGGTGTGGACATTCGGTCTTTTTCAGTTCAATACAAATTTTGATGGTCAGATTTTGATCCGTATGATTTAGTTTTGTCGGACATTTAGGCTTAGCCATCCGATGGATGGTTGCTGTTGTGGTGTACCTCAGCGCGGTGATGGCGACACTGAGCGTTAACCGAGGATGTACATGAATGGCCAGCCTATGGATGGTTGCTGTTGTGGTGTACCTCAGCGCGGTGACGACGACACTGAGGGTTAACCGAGGATTACAAGGATGGCCAGCCTATGGATGGTTGCTGTTGTGGTGTACCTCAGCGCGGTGACGACGACACTGGGGGTTAACAGAGGATGTGCAGTGAACAATGTTCTCTTTACTCTGCAGTCTTTTAACCAAGGGTTGTAATTGTGGCTGTACGTTTGGCAAACCTACTCATGTTCCTAATGAGTTTTGATAACATTTTTCACCCAAGCATTTGGGGGGCGGGCTGATGAGAGCCACAAGGACACATCACCTCTGGGGGCCGCCGAACTCCGAGAGCCCCGGTTAATGCTCATTTGAGACATTATCCGTGGCGCACGACGAGGACGTGCTGTAGGGGTCTTGCGTGAGGTTCCGTACAACCAGGATAGTAAAGGACTGGCGCCCGAGTGACGTACGGAGTATCTCCTTATACACATCATGTTGGACTTAACTTCCCCTCACGCCTGTGACATAAATCACCGCGCCACACCGCTATAATTCACCTCCTAGTATTACTACAGCTTTATCTGGGTTTTTTTTGCTAGTGCTTCACTACTGTTTCACTAACTACTGGCGTTTCTACTACATATCATCAGGTGCCTTGCCGACTGACGTGGGCGATCATGCCTCTTCACAATCTGCAATCTCCTGAAGCATGTATCATTTTGTGTGCTGACACACCTCCATGCCATGCAACAAGACTGTCAAGAATCTTCTCTTGTTGTCTACCTCTATCCCTCCTTCCACAGATCTTTCCAGTGGTCACAATCACAACATTTTCCATTTTCCCTCTTCTCAAAACATGGTGGAAAATTGATGACTCTCCTATTGTCTGTAATTAGTTGTCTTCGGGCTCCCATCTCTTTCAAAACCTCTTGATTTGCTCTTTTTGGCTGTCCAAGGTATTTTAAGCATTCTTCTGTAAAACCACATCTCTGAGGCTTCAAGAAATTGTTTGGCCTGCCTACAGATTGTCCAGGACTCACGGCTGGATGTATATAGCAAGCAAGAATTCTTTTTCTAACCCTCAGTGATAAAGATATATTGCATAAGATGTTCTTCATTTTATAAAATGCAGTTTTTGCCTTTCCTGTTCTGTTTCTTGCCTCAGTAATGCATCTTCCATCTGATGCATGGCATTTAAAACTCATACCTCAAAACATAACATATAATCTCTTCCATACTACCCAGCCTTTGTGCTGTGCATCTTGCTAGTCACACACGTTACAGTGAGCTACTCTGTAATTCTTAGGCTCCCCACACAGTAAAGTACCCTCTTCCACACCTTCAGACTTATTGGGCATACAGGGCTAGACCTATATTTTATAGACCAATCGGCACTCTGAAGTTGATATGGTCAGAATCATGTTAATCGCCGTTACTTCCTAGTACTTTACCTGATACTCATTAAAGGCGGGATCGACCTAGGAGCTGAGGTCATTTTTGAAAAAGTCTGCCTCTGTGGCGATCTACTTTACCTGATACCCATTTAAGGCAGCATCGACCTGGAAGCTAAGGTCATTTTTAAAAAAAAGTCTGCCTCTGTGGGGAATCCTGAACCCATGACCTTTGGATTGGCAGGCGAGCATCTAGCCACTACACCGCGGCGGCTTCCTATGCCTCCTTATAGCTCAGTACAACTTGTCTGAAAAGATGCCAATGAACACAGCAATTACACATCGTTATAAAGTCCCATTTCTATATAGGAGTTCATATGTAATGAGCTTTCATGACTTTCCTTCCTTTATTGATAAGATCTTTTCTTGTCTCTCCTGTAATGTTGTCTTTCACTTGCATGCTTACCTGACTGTTCCATCCAGCAACACCTTTAACACATTTGTTTGTCTTGGTATGTACCCTTAGAGCAGTGTACTTAATCTCTGCTACTGCTTCAACTCTAGAGCCCTGTTGACCACATCACTCATCAAACACTGATTAGTGCATTCAAATACGAATCTCGCTAGCTTCATACGTTCAGTTTGTTGTTACTTGCTTTCTAGTGCAATTGCTATTACTTCTAACTGGTTACTTACTTTCTAGTGCAATAGCTATCACTTCTAACTGGTTACTTACTTTCTACTGCAATAGCTATCACTTCTAACTGGTTACTTACTTTCTACTGCAATTGCTATCACTTCTAACTGGTTACTTACTTTCTACTGCAATAGCTATCACTTCTAACTGGTTACTTACTTTCTACTGCAATAGCTATCACTTCTAACTGGTTACTTACTTTCTACTGCAATAGCTATCACTTCTAACTGGTTACTTACTTTCTACTGCAATAGCTATCACTTCTAACTGGTTACTTACTTTCTACTGCAATAGCTATCACTTCTAACTGGTTACTTACTTTCTACTGCAATAGCTATCACTTCTAACTGGTTACTTACTTTCTACTGCAATAGCTATCACTTCTAACTGGTTACTTACTTTCTACTGCATTGTTATTGGCCTTCTCTGAGACTGCAGTCCTGTGTTTATTTTTCCACAAGCGGCTGTGACGGACATTCTGTGTGGTTTTCATTGACACAGGAACAGAGCAGCTGTGGGCTGACCCATTTGATGTGATGAGTTGAGTTGAGTCAAGAATTGACATCACAGCACTTGGGGCATTCCCATGCATGCACCGGCCTCATCAGCCAGGGCAGAGTTCCAGTACTGTTGGTACCGGCCACAATCTGGTTAAAAGTCTGTCTTGCGTTTTCTCTGCGTGTAGAGAGGTGCCTCATTCTCTCCAGGCCATAATAATCTTGTTTCTCTACTGATTCCTTTGCTTGTTCCCAAAAGGCCTTGACCACATCTGCCTTGTCATGTATCAAATTACCACCCAGTGGTGCAGATCCAGTCAATTTGTCTGCCTGTTTATTACCCCTTACACCCACATAGCCTGGAGAAAGATCTAAAGTATGCTCACTACCTGTGACCTTCCCAGTGAAGCTTGCCACTCTGCTCGAAGCATCCCTGTTTGATGTGATGTTGGAACTGCAATTACCTGACTGCAGTCTATTGAATTTACACAAATTTCATAAGATTAGTATTTACATGTTCTGTTAATTGAACTTTTGCATATATAGTTGGCTTGAAATAGGTACTAGGATGTGTTGCTGCATCATCCATCGACAGCTAAGTTACAAAAAAATATATAAGAAATCAGGGAGTGGCACCGTGTCTGTGTTGTGGAAAGGGTCCTTTTCTTTAGATACATTTAGGCTGTTCATGCTGCAGCCTACTTTCTCTTGTATTTCTGCTTCTTGCATACCCCCTTTTCTACCTCCTTTTCTGAAGAACTATCTCACTGTTTATGAAGATAAGGTAATCATATGAAGATTGTTAATAAACTGTTTACATTTCTCTACCCCCAGAAATTACTCATATTCCGCCCAGAACAGAGAATCAATGCAAGAACTGCCTTAAATCATACATACTTCCGAGATGATCTAGACAGCATGCGAACCTCAAGTTCTCTGTCCACATCAGAAACAGATTCCATCTCAGGTAGTCGGTCAGATACACCTGTCAGCAAGTGAAGACAGCACATGATGCTTGGGCAAACATTATTTCATGAATATTTTAGCATAACACTCGTTGCAAGTGGAGACCGCCTATTTTACTTGGGCAACAAACAATATTTCATGTCTTTTACATGTGACTGTTTATGAAAATGGTTTATACAGGAATGAGACAATCAAGATTTGTTTAGGCATGTTATGAGTAGAAATAAACTTGGGAATTTGACCGCTGGCAAACTTGATGGGGGGAAAGAACGGGGAGGCAAAAGAGACATATACTTGTGTGGCTTAGCCATAAGGCATACTTGAGACACAAACACACTTCTTCCCAGATCTGATCATTTAAGATGGCGAACCAAGACTGGTGATCATTTAAGATGGTGAACCAAGACTGGTGATCATTTAAGATGGTGAACCAAGACTGGTGATCATTTAAGATGGTGAACCAAGACTGGTGATCATTTAAGATGGTGAACCAAGACTGGTGATCATTTAAGATGGTGAACCAAGACTGGTGATCATCTAAGATGGTGAACCAAGGCTGGTAATCATCTGAGATGGTGAACCAAGGCTGGTAATCATCTGAGATGGTGAATCAATACTGGTGATCATCTGAGATGGTGAATCAAGACTGGTGATCATCTGAGGTGATGAATCAAAACTGGTGATCATCTGAGATGGTGAATCAAAACTGGTGATCATCTGAGATGGTGAACCAAGACTGGTGATCATCTGAGATGGTGAACCAAGACTGGTGATCATTTGAGATGGTGTACCAAGGCTGGTTTAATGCACTATGATGATGGGACTACTTTTTTTTCCGTCTAATTCTAGCAGGTCTGTAATTTCTCTTGATCTACTTTTGGCTGATCTGTTATTTCTCTCCCTCTACTTCTCCCTAGTCTGTTATTTCTCGCTGCCTGCTTCTGGCTGTTCCACTGCTGGTCCTTCTCATTACTGCAGTAACCTTCAGTGTCTCTTTACTGATCCTGTGGGACCATAGAGCATTGTTTCTCACTTTCATATAGTTACAGCAGTCTAATTGAAATTAATAAGTTTTTTTTTTCTAAAACAGTTGCTAGTTGCTTACTCTGGGCTGCCCAATGCATTCACAACATTATTCTCAGAAATCACATCTCCATAACTTGGAGATCTTTTCCTAATTGTTTTTCTCATTCAAAGATTCACTGCCACACATCAGAACACATTTTACACAACCTCATTAATCGCTTTCGGACATTCAATGAAAGTAACTTATTTGCCAAGATATTCTTCTGCTATGTGTGTAAGAACCAGGAGTAAAGATTGGCACCGCCAGGCATGAGAGGCACACCAGACACACTAAACGTCTTGTCAGCCAGCACTCTTAGTGTTGGACGCTGGTGTAAATGTTTAGCATGGAATCTGAGCATGTATGGGTCCGTCTGGACTTCTGTGAGAATAACCTAACTCACAGACCATTCTTCTGCCGCTTGCTAATGTAAATAAACTAATGGACCATTTTGAATGCTCATACTGGACTGGAGAAATATGTTGTACTATGTTGTCTGCAGTGATTTTATGATAAATGTATGGTTGTACTGCCCACAGAAAGACTATTTTCACATCGTCGGTTAATGAGACTTATGGTGGTACTTTTCTTAATAAATTTTTTGATGGTATTGAATGAGAAGTATGTTTGTAGTGATTTTCTGGTATGTGTTCTTCCCAGTAGTTTAATCAATTACCAAGAATTGATTGATGCACCTGAAGAGAGGAGGGAAGAGTATTCCATGTTGTAACTTGACTTTTATTATCATCTCATTTGATGTATGATAAGATTTACAGTATCTTCACAGGTTCTGTATATTTTACTCTTTTCGCTGCCCAGCAGTTACGACCAAATAAATGTTGTATGGTAAGTGTGCTTTATGTGCAGTTTGTATATCTGAGCTGTGGTTTCTGATCAGTATGGCAGATAGGCAGGTTTACTGTTTTTAGTTGTAGAAAGTTTTTGTTGACAATTAGCTGTTACATTTTCCTTCATATATGGACTAAAAATATGTAATTCCATCTTCCAGCTAACTGAGTTAAGTGCATGGCATGACACTGAGTTTCAAATTTATTTTGGGATGCTTTTTCGATTGTATCCACTGTAGTTTGTGTTGTGAACTGCAGATTCAGAAAATAGCGATTGGCCTTTCCCCACAGAACTTGTGGTGCTTTATGCACCTAATTGTGTGTGCAACTGCTGATCTGTTGTAACTGCTGCTTCCATCGATGATGAACTGCATTTCTAGTGCTGGGCCGTTAGCACTGGAAGTGTTGGCACTTCTGGATGGCTGCCTGATGCATTTACTGCATGTGTATGCTATTAGCTTTGCTGAGACTGCAGTCTTATTCAATTGTTTTTTTCACAGGGAACATTGATAGTTACTATATGTGGTTTTCATGGCACAAGAAAAGAGCGTCTATGGGGGTGACCAGTTTGCTGTCATGTTATAACTGCTATTACCTGATTACATTTATGTGATATATGTGCTTGATGTATTGTGTGTATAGCTGAGATGTATACTGTCATGTGATGTTGGCATGTCATATGAAGGAATAGAGAACTACCTGACAGGCACTGAAATAGGAGACACAAATATTTAAGGCAGTGAATACATCCAAAGAAAACCCCTTAGAGAGGCATGAATGAGAGAAGTCAGTGGTTATGAACTGGATTTCATTTATGATATTAGAAGGACTGCTGGATGAAAGTGACGCGCAAGGACTTGGATCTAAAGTGGAAGAGTTGTGCACTTCATCAACCTCACTCTCTCGCCCATGTCCATCTTGATCCAATGGCAGGACAATGTCGAGACGACTGGAAATGGACTTAGGTGTAGTGGATGACCAAGGCGTCTTAAGTGCCCTGCCTTGCTCGAAGCTCTCCACAGAGCCTACTGGTAATCGCCTTCTTGTCCCTTGAACCAGTAAGCGGTTTCATCCGCACAGTCTGCTGAGTCCAGTCTTTGCATGCAGGGTAGGCATATCCCACATCACCGAGTGGTTTAGAACCAGGTCGGCTACCCTCTCCTGGTTTAACCAGCCCATCAAAGCTGTTGCCGAGGGGGGGGGGGGGGTAGCCACAGGAGAGATCTGAGTGCCAGACCTAGCACAGGGGTGGTAGACTGCCCTAAGAAGGACATGACGGTCATCTTATTAAAAGGATTACATGGGATAGGACAGAATGGAAGATTACATGGTGAGCCTTGTGTAATGTGTAGCAGTATGATGAGGATTGTCAGGTAAGTTTCTTCCGAATGTGTTTATAAGCTATGTAGTCAAATCATTTTTCAAAAGTGCATGCGTGTTTCATTCAAGTGTTGTCACTTCCAGTACACATTCATTTACATAAAGACCTGGTAATTTATTGGAATATTGAAGAATTTTGGCCCTTTTGTACTGTTAGGATTAGTTGGTATTTAACTAGTTTTTGACTCGCTGAAGACTTAAGTGAATACTGACCATACTGTCACAGTATGGTTATACGGGATAGTGCTGAACTTATTCTCTCACCGGGACCTGGATCTTTCACACACAGCAGCAAACCAGTCTGGAATATCTTGTGATTGGTTTTATAGCAAATGTTTTCCATGTAAAATGATATGACTATACCATCATAATGTATCTTGTGATTGGTTTTATAGCAAATGTTTTCCATGTAAAATGATATGACTATACCATCATAATGTATCTTGTGATTGGTTTTATAGCAAATGTTTTCCATGTAAAATGATATGACTATACCATCATAATGTATCTTGTGATTGGTTTTATAGCAAATGTTTTCCATGTAAAATGATATGACTATACCATCATAATGTATCTTGTGATTGGTTTTATAGCAAATGTTTTCCATGTAAAATGATATGACTATACCATCATAATGTATCTTGTGATTGGTTTTATAGCAAATGTTTTCCATGTAAAATATGACTATACCATCATAATGTATGTGTGTTGTGTGTATTATATGCTTGTGTGTATTTTAAAATTGCTATATATTTTTACATCCATTGTATGTACATTTTTAAAATTAACCTGTACTTGCACTCATCTGAGTATTAATTGTTTAGGCACGTATTCTGTAACCTTGTCTTACGTTTGCATGCCTCAATCTTATTTTGAAGCAAAGCAATTTAAAAGTTTGTACTATAATTCCATTCTTCCGGTAAACTCGTATGTTTGCATTTGGTCATAGTGTTTTTGTGTAACTAGAGAACATCTTTATCAGTATTTTCGTATAAGTTCAAGAATTGCTTTGTTTGAATGAGTTGACACCGGGAAGGCTAACCCTGTCACCAAAGAAGTCGGATGTGTTGGCCGAAAGGTGCAAATATCGCAGCAATGCTGTAAACGGACACAACGCAGTTACATCTTCGGATGAACACAGAAGAAGAATGAGTTGACAACTTTGTCTCCTCATCTGCCATGGTCAGCTGTCAGGGTTTAATCCTCTGTAAAGGAATTTAGGAGTGGGAGCGAATAAAAATTCTGGCATGCACAGCAGCGACTGCACTTCTTGCATGGCCTTAAATCCTTCAGCTCGTGTCCCACCTGTCCACAGGTAAATACAGACAGTAAAGATAGTTTTAATCTACCGTGAGTCTCAGAAAAGAGACTGACACATTTATTACAAAGGCTAAGTCCAACTGTGCAGGCCACTGCAACATGTAGGTGAATAGCGGCAGACAGGCACCATTTGCGAAACTTGATTTTTTAATTTCCCAACCTTCTCATGAGCTTATCAGTTTAAATTAATGAATGTTTGGTGGTTTTTATAAACCGGGATGGTTCAGGTGGTTGCTACAACAAAACAAAACTCAGGATAGTTTTTAAAGTCAGCCAGGTTTGCAATCAAATAAACACCACAACACAACTATTGCTCCTTCAGATATTTTGCTTTTCCTTAATCAGGGTTGGCATGATGGTGGTTACAGATAGACTTTAATAACTCCACAATTCTGCCCAGCAGATCTGATTTCAGCAGA